CCATCAGTGGTGAACTCTGTCTGCTCATTAAAATCCTTCGGAAAGTTCTTTGAGCAGCGACCATCTTTTATGCAGCGCTCATTACAGGGACCATGCACCATACACTTGGTAACAACTTCATGGAGAATAGGGTGTGTTTCAGGATCAGGAATCTGAGCACATGAGACTGAATCAGCATCAGCAGGAGAGCAAATCTTGTGATCAGGATCCAGAAAAATCAGAAGATGCATATGAGGAAGTCCATGCTTCTGAAACTCGATTGTATGCACAATAGCTCTGACTTTGCCAAATATTCCACCCTTTTTGATTTCCTGCAGCAGAGCCTCCTTCTTCAACTGAAATACTCTGGCCACAATATCAGATCGATCCTCCACCTTCTGATCAGGTCCATCTGTATGCTTCAGAGCCTCAACAATTTCTGGCCATTGTGGGTTTGCCATCATTGTAAGAAAAATATCTGGCTTCTGCAAAGCTCGACAGATTGCCATAGAATCCTGATAAAGCTGATACATTGCACGTGGGGTGCCTGTATGTGATGATAGAAGGACAATATATTGGCCAGAGTTGTGCAATCCATCCTCATTATTGGCAGTATCCACTAACCCCTTATACAAATCTGCATGGATGGTTTTCTGATTGTTTCGAACCCAGTTGAGATCACTTTGCTCAATTGATGCCCATGCATCCACAATATACTGCTGAAACAAATGGCCTCCTCTGTATAATGGAGCATCTGGCTCAATTGTTGGGTGCTTGTGAAGACGATATGCATAATACATGTGCTGAGTGACTATTTTATGCTCTGTGCGGGTGCTCCTTGCTGTCTCCTCCAGAGGTATATAGCAATTCCACCCCAGTTCTCCATATGGAAAGAGAAGAACATAGTGAAGAGGTTGGTAGCTTGGATGAAGTTGGCTGATGCACTTGAGAGACTGATTGTGCATACATAAGACAATATCCCGTTCATTCTTCACAGGCTCAGATCCATCTCCAGGAATGACAGCTGCTAACTCATCAGCTGTTGGAAGGTTGTATCTCCGACCATCTGTACCATCCCCCACATGCAATTGAACTTCCAGATTTGGATACTCTTCATGGGGTTTGTCCTTCATAATGAGATATGCTTGTCAATACAAAGGAACATAGGGATTTACATCATGCATTAACCCCTGAAGTGCTGACATGATCTCTGGCTTTAGATTGGGATTCCGGCGATTATGCATTCCTAATGCTTCTATCGGATCATGTATATACAGCTGCATATAAGACATATCCTCTCCTTCTCTTGGTAGCAGGGATCCCATTTGATGATGAAGCTCTTCTGATACACAAAAGCAGTATGGTTCTGAAGAGTTGGTAATTGCCTGATCAACCTTCACTGCTACTGATGTGAATGCCAAAGCTGCATTGTACTGTCAGATATTTTTTAAAAAGGTATTAGACATCAGGCTGACACTACACAGAAGGTTATGGAGAATGCCAGGAGCAGGAAGAAGGTGAGGCAGTTTGACCTGTCCTTGCAAGCAGTATAGGCCAAAATGAGGTCTGATTCTTGACTTGGATTTAAGATGCTCATTATACCAATGTGGTGCACCACAGTATTCACAAAGCCACTCCATCTTTCCAATGCTATGCTGAGAATGTGGTTCAACATATGGACATCTTGCAGTAGGGAGCAAAGTTGGAATTGTTCTTGGTGGTAGTGGTGGTGGTGGTGGTGGTGAAGGCAGTGGTGGTGGTGCAGGTGGTGCAGGTGGAGTTGGTGCAGGTGCAGATGGAGTTGGTGGTGGAGGAGGTGGCAGAGTTGGTACTCACTGTTGATATTGTTAGTGCCCAGCCAGATTTATCATGTCAATATCTGATGATGATACTGGCTATGGATGAGAAACCTGAACTGCACCTTGACCTTGACCACAAATCTGTCTATGACCTCAACCCTGATTTTGTGGAGGATGCATCACAGAAGCAGCATTATGTGAGGAAGAATGACCACTGGGAGCCCCACCATGGCCAGTACCATGTGGTCTTCCACAATGAACACCTCTGGAGATAGTGGCAGGAAGCAATGGCACCACAGGTGTAGGATGTTCATGTGGTCAGTCCAGCTGAGATGGAATACATGTTTCAGGTGGAATATGTAAGGGTGGAAGTGCAATATTAGGGTCAGGACCTGGGTGGGCAGATCGTCCATGGCAATGAGAAGGAGAGGTCATCTGCAGATGCTGAAGATGATCATGCTCCTGCTGAGTCTGATGTGTATGCTCTGGTGTAACTGGAGGAGAATGAAAAGGATCACATGATCTGGAGGGAGTGGATGGGTTCCTATTAGAGCAAAGTAATGAACATCTTAAGTTCATCAAATGAGAGAAAACAGATACATACATTGTAGGGTATCAAGAAATAGTGATATCAGTCTTGATCGCAGAGTAACAAACCTCTATACAACAGAAATCTATGATAGACTGCTCACAGACCAAGAAAATTTGACACAGAGGAATCCAATGCTACAACAGCAGTTTATGGAGCTACACTTCCAGCAAGTGGAAGGGGGAGCAATTATACCTGTGTGAACACAGATACCCAATCAGTCCTGCCACACCAATCTCCCTGGCTTGTTGTGCTTGACAGAGGCCCCTATTCACAGGCATGCAGGAGGGTAGGCTTGTCACCAATAACTGTGCCCTAAAGAAAGCAGAAAGGCCCAGAATCCAATCTGAGAGCTCCCATCTTCACTTTGACACAGAAATTGAGGAGATCCCCAGCAGCACCTTGATCTACTCTGTGCCAATGACCTAGACTGAAAGCAGCTAAAAATAGACTCCAGGAGCAAAGGGAAGTCACTTTTATGAGAGAAAACACAAACTTGGAGCAAGAACACCTGAAAAGAAAATCAGCAAAAGGGTGCTTCCATCAAAGATTGATGAGCAGTACCATGAAAAGGACATCCAAATTAGTGTTTTGATGACTCAGCTCAAAGCCATGTGCCACACCAGTCAAGCAGAACAAAGTCATGCTGATGTTGCCAAATGACTTCAGCAAAGTCACACCACAGTACTGGCTCAGTGCAGCTTAGCATGACTTGAAGTTGCCCAAGCTTCGACTTGAGTAAAAATACCGAAATGATATTTAGGTTGACTTTGATTTTTCCCACAGTTTCTCTGAAAAATTCTAGAATATTATATTATCTGAAAATCTACTGATGAGCTGCCATTTAAAGGAAATGCATGAAGTCATAGCTTGACTGGCTAGAGTGGCATGATGGCAACTTGGCTTCAAAGCTATCAAAAATTATGATTTGGTGAAGCCATTGAAGCTGAAGCCAAGTGAAGTTGCACTGAGCTGCACCAAGTCACGTCATTGAAACACTAACCCAAATTGCCTAAAAGAGCATGATCAGATGGGCCAACATCATAAGAAACGGAACTAATCCTTACCTGGGATAACGTTGAAGAGGCTGGCTGTGGGCACCTGTGGAATAGTGAGCGGGCTAAAAGGCGAACCTCAAAAACCCACACACACACTCACACAACTACACAAACTACAAACACCCTCATAAGTTCTAGGAGGAGCAATTATTTCTAATGTGATCTGACTATACTTCAATATCCTGAAGAGTTTCTCTTATTCTCAGTGCTCTTAGCGAAGCTAAGCTTTCTCTAATGAATTCCTAAGTCTAGGAACTTTTTACAGGAAGGTTGTTCACTGGTGCTGGTGCAACGCAACCTTCAAGGCAGATTTGAGTTATAATACACAAGGAACACTGATCCCGACAGAAACAGAGGCAATACACGCTGAAACTTTAGTGAGCTCGCTAAAAGAACACCACAGGCAAGCACTGACTTAGCCCGCTCGCTACACAACTGTATGTAGGGGTTCTCCAACTAACTCCAGCAGGTTATCTCGACTCAAGAACACTTCAGAAGCGCTCAGAAACAGATTCAGAAACGGAACTTTGAACAGAACTGACATGGAACAGACTGAAACAGAACAGAACACAGATTTCCACTTCAACACATTCTCTGAACAGACTTATCACACTTAACAGAACAGAAACAGCATCACTGATTTGTATTCACTCTGACTAAGTTCTCAAAAGTCTTATCAAAAGGGTATCTCGTATTTCTCTGAGTGAGCTCGCTAATTCTATGCAAAGCTCAAAGTCACAAACTGATCCTTTGTTACAGTACTGCCTTCAACATGTGCACAGGAACTTGGGGGCTTGAAACTTGGCCTCTACCTACTGTAACCAGCCTACTTATACTACAGGGGAATTAGAATTACAAACGTCGTGCAGTACCCAGACTCCTACATGCATAGCATGTTGCCACCGCAGCCTTACTGAGCATCCGAGTCAGACTTCCCAGTTTTAGTCTCATCTCTATAGTGAGCTCGCTAAACGCGTGCCAAGAGGTGCTCTCCTGACACCCACGGGCTTGTTCTCTAGCGACCGACAGGTCTAGGTGCATGGAACTATCAGTCCTGGCATATGTCGTTCAAGACTTCTTTCTTGGATTCACAGAAGCTTCTCATAGACATGGCAACAAGTGAGTCTTCGAACAATGGGACTCAGAACAATGGAACGTGGGCTCGCAGACTTTGGCCAAAGCCCATTGCCCAAGCTCGTGCCGGTGATATCTGTCATCTCACTTAAGGATTTCCCCAGATTTTCAGGTATGACATATCACACTTAGTGAGCGCGCTAAGTACTCTCAGTGTCAGTGCAATCTTCAAGGTTTTATCTAGCTCCTGCGAGCGTGCTTGTAAGTTAGAGCCTAAGGCATTGGGTATATGGTTTGGCCTTCTCATCATGCATGCCCATCAGGTACAGTGCTGTGACTAAGTCCTGTTTAGAATCCCATTGCTTCTTATGCCATAAGTTATATTCCATATCATTGCGCTGCATAGCATTAGTGTCAACATGTAGTTTTAGTCCACTCACTCACTATATCTCAGTATGCATGTAAAACACTTTAGATTGCAAAATTACACACGTAAATAGGCTGCAGTCGCAACACCGTTTTCGCTGTCCCTTTCCATGGATGCACAAAGACCAGGGTTCCAGCTTGGTCGACAACCTTCTCGTAGCAAACTTTGTTCATCAGTTGGTACTGCTTGATCACCTTCTTTTCTGTGACTCCAATAAACTGTTGCTGCAGTCTGCAAGGTTGATAAGAAGTGTTGAAGTAGAAGAGTCCTTTTGATTCTTTGACACGAAGGAAGGTGGTGATATTCTGATAATTGGGCAGAGCAGCAGACTGTTCAAGCAATGATGCTCCAGAACTGGACCACCCTCATCATGAAGCAAGTGAGGCTCATCAATAATGATTAGCTGAAACAAGATTTGTATGACTGGTGTCAGTGCTTTTATGCATCAGTGTCTCATTCTTCTGGCATGATTATGAGAAATCTGTTGCTTCATCATTTGAGAGTCGCCTGTAAGTTTGCCAATCTTGAAACTGAGCTTGGTTTCGTCAGTGTCCATTACATCTGGCACATGGGCTTTCATCTGACGATCTCTGGCTAATTCATGAAGAATTCAGCCCACGCCCTTTTCATGCATAGAAACTTCAATACTGACACCAGCATCGCTCCACATGAGCTTCGTACACCAGACAAGTTTTTATGGAATTTCATTGTGATAAGAAAACTCTGGTAGTCAAAAAGTTCCATAAGCTGGTTTTCCCAGTCATGAACGTTGGATTCGGAACCAAGAATCAAGGTCACAAAGGGTCAATCCCTCATCTAACCTACAAAATGAAGAGATTATCAGACCAAGAATGGTAGTCCTCTGCATCGGTGCTATGCAGGTGATGTCTGTACTCATCAAGGCAGGTACTAGATCAAAAGGACAAATCCTTACACCAGCCTGGGCTGCTAGATTTCTGTTTGAAAGGTGTTAGGTGACAATTAATTGTGATACATCAGGAGTGTCAGTTTACATCCAGCCTATATACAGTAATTCCATCAGGATGACAAAGTGGCTTAGTAAGCTTCTCAATCTGTGTCAATGATGGCATCATTAGAAAAGAGGGCAATTCCGGGAATTGAACCCAGGACCTCAAAAATAAATCCAATAATATCATATGAATTTTTCAAGCAAGCATGCTAAGCACTACACCATACTAGTATTATATATATATGTCTTTTCATCTCTATATATACTCTTCCTCCCTTTTATGACCTCATATTGATACCCTCCCTTTGCTCCACTCTGGTGCGCTCTTTTGCCTTTTTAGGCTCCCCAAATCAGCCCATCAATTTTCGCTGGATCCAGTGGCAGTGCCACATTTTTAATACCCAAAATAGGAGCTATTTTCCAGTCAAAACAGCTATTTGGGCTATTCTCAGGCTACTGGCTGGGCCAGGGGATGGCACTATAATCTGTATAGACATAAACAACATAAAATAGAGCCCTCTAATGATACATAGGAGCTCTGGATAGTGGGATAAAAGGGTAATATAATGAAAATCGCATAAATATTCACTTTTGGGGGCTGCTGCATGCATTGGATCAGCTGGAGGACTTTACCAATCGATTCCCTGACCTTGAAAACACCCCAGAAATAATGATATTACAGTTTAGGAGGAGCACATGTAATAAATCCTATTTCTGGGCTTCAGACCACTTCAGAATTTTGTCTATTGTGTTTATTGACCTAAATAACACTCAAATGACTCCACAGGACAAAGGAAACCATCAGAAATACATGATAAAAAGAGTAATAGGGGGATGGAGGAGACATATCTTATATTTCGCATTTCTAATAGTTAGGGAGGGTATTCTTGTTATATAACAGACTATATATATTGTACAATGGTGTGTACGAAGCCCTATGGATATCTGAAATGTATTGAATGAGATATGAGCAGATCATTCTGTAAAACAGGAGGAGCACATCCTATATTTTGATGTTCAAACTCTGAAATACAAGATGTTCTCTCATTTGTCACTTATATTGTCCTGTAGCTACATATGGCTGTATGTGTTATCTGGGTAAAATGGCTCCTATGGATGATAGGTGGCCCTACTGTTTTTTGGGTCAAGGAATCTGAGTCTGATGATCCCCAGGCCATAGAATGAGCAGAACATCAAAATATAGGATGTGCTCCTTCTGTTTTACAGAATGATCTGCTCATATCTCATTCAATACATTTCAGATATCCATAGGGCTTCGTACACACCATTGTACAATATATATAGTCTGTTATATAACAAGAATACCCTCCCTAACTATTAGAAATGCGAAATATAAGATATGTCTCCTCCATCCCCCTATTACTCTTTTTATCATGTATTTCTGATGGTTTCCTTTGTCCTGTGGAGTCATTTGAGTGTTATTTAGGTCAATAAACACAATAGACAAAATTCTGAAGTGGTCTGAAGCCCAGAAATAGGATTTATTACATGTGCTCCTCCTAAACTGTAATATCATTATTTCTGGGGTGTTTTCAAGGTCAGGGAATCGATTGGTAAAGTCCTCCAGCTGATCCAATGCATGCAGCAGCCCCCAAAAGTGAATATTTATGCGATTTTCATTATATTACCCTTTTATCCCACTATCCAGAGCTCCTATGTATCATTAGAGGGCTCTATTTTATGTTGTTTATGTCTATACAGATTATAGTGCCATCCCCTGGCCCAGCCAGTAGCCTGAGAATAGCCCAAATAGCTGTTTTGACTGGAAAATAGCTCCTATTTTGGGTATTAAAAATGTGGCACTGCCACTGGATCCAGCGAAAATTGATGGGCTGATTTGGGGAGCCTAAAAAGGCAAAAGAGCGCACCAGAGTGGAGCAAAGGGAGGGTATCAATATGAGGTCATAAAAGGGAGGAAGAGTATATATAGAGATGAAAAGACATATATATATAATACTAGTATGGTGTAGTGCTTAGCATGCTTGCTTGAAAAATTCATATGATATTATTGGATTTATTTTTGAGGTCCTGGGTTCAATTCCCGGAATTGCCCTCTTTTCTAATGATGCCATCATTGACACAGATTGAGAAGCTTACTAAGCCACTTTGTCATCCTGATGGAATTACTGTATATAGGCTGGATGTAAACTGACACTCCTGATGTATCACAATTAACTGTCAACTAATGGTGTTTGATGCATCAAAGTAGCAGCTATAGGTGCTTGCACCTCGATAAGTCATCACCAGCATTCTTTCCTTGATGTCAATTGTCTGATCAAATCATTAGCTTCCCAGTGCTAGACATAATGAGCACAAAGCCTACCACCCAAGTCAACAAGCAAGAATATAGGTTGGATTCTGCATTTTATGCCCACTCATTGTCTCCAGGTGCAGAATACAGAACTGCAAGTTATGTGTTGAGAGATTTCTCTCAGGAGGAGGTACCCTCACTAGGTGTCCTTTCCATGGGATGAGCACCATTTCTTCTATGATTCAGATATGCCTGCAGGCTCAGAGACAGTAATCGCAGAGCACACAGGCATTAATCCCTTTACAATCAATTAAAGGACTGCGGCAGCAGAGCATGCCTTAATGTATCAAACCCTCCCATTGTAGTCATGTTAGCCACTAACTCTAATCGACTTAGATCAACCAAGGATCGCCACTCGCACTTCGGTGGACGATACACTGGGAGGTCAAAGGCGAAGAACGGAGTTCGATGTTAGGTAGATTAAACCTTAGCCGAAGCTGGGGTTTAAACCAGCTGAGGCTCTACTTAAATACATGTCACGTAGACTAAAAATAGTACTGTGAGAATGTCCGATCAGAATCGCAACATAGAGTAAGCATGAATACGTAAGAAAAGAAAAAGAAAAGAATAAACCGTAACATTACCCCCTCTCTAAGACTCATTCGTCCCGAATGAGCCTACGCTCTCCTCTCCGCTCTGTGCAGATTCACTGTAGAAGGATAAAGCGTCATCGTCGTCGTTGTCTGAGTCGAAGTCCCAGTTTTCGTGTACACGCTGGAGACATTTGATGTTGGTTTCGGACTCCTCTTCGTGTTCATTTGTCCCCTCTGCTTGAGCCTCAGTGACTTCAAGTCGATTATAATACGAAGAGACTGAAGAGGGATAAGAATCCTCTTGGGTGTCCGAGTGCCTGGGGTTGGTACACTCGGAGGAGTAAACGGTTTCGATATCGGTTATGCAAGGGGTGTCTGGATCATGATATACCATCCCAGCATTAGGGGGTATTTTCGTATCTCTCCCGACCGTCTTTCCATATTTGTCGACCTCCCATTGAATTCGTTGGATACGAGCCTCGTATTCGTTGACTAGCTCTTCTGCATTGGCCATGTTCGACCGCTTCACCCACGAATTCTCCTCCATCGGATAACCTTTCCACCTTACGAGGTATTCGGTTATCGTTCGCCGATGGCGTCCACGCCCAACTGTTTTGTCCCTTTGTTCCACTATCTCCTCGATCTCATACTCTTCCTCGTCCTCGATCAATTCTGGTGGTGGCCTTTCGGGACGTGGTTGGTTGGAAAATGAGGGGGCGATGTAAGGGGTCAGCAAAGACTCGTTGAAGCGGTTATGGATTTTCCAGCCCGTCGGCAGCTTTAATTCATACGCAGAGGCTCCCTTTTTAGCTATAATAGCGAAGGGGCCAACCCGTCGATCACCCAGTTTCTTGGTCGGACGCGGGAGATGAAGATTGGTTGCATCGAGCCATACTTTGTCTCCAACCTGGTATTGAATTGCGGCCGCCTTGTGTTTGTCATAGGCTTTCTTCATCGACTCCGCCGCTTTCTCCAATGACTTCTTTGCCTCGTCTTGTGCTTTTTCGATTTCCTCTACCATTCGTCCTGCCGCCGGCACTGCGGTCACTCGTTGGGGTTTTTTGATGACCTCCCCATCCCTTCCGAAGATGACCTTGTATGGGGAATATCCTGTCGATGAGTGTTGACGATTATTATGCGTGAAAGCGGCCAGCGGGAGCCACTCGCTCCAGTCATCCTGTCTCCCGTTGACGAACATCCTGAGGTACTTTTCGATCTCTTGATTGACCCTCTCAGTTTGCCCGTCTGTCTGAGGGTGGTACGCCGTGGAGGGGTTTCCTTCCACGTGAAGGAGTCGATAAAATTCCTTCATGAACTTGGAAACGAATACCGATCCCCGGTCAGAAATCACCTTCTCGGGCATAACGCCATAGGGTACATAGACGTAATCCCTCAAGATTTTGGCAAAGCCGAGGGAGGTAAGCTCTTCCGTGCAGGCGATGGGGATAATTGCTTTAGAGAAGCGGTCTACTATGACAAGGATTGAGTTGAACC